CTGTTTTTTTCGTATCAGTGTTTTCAGAGAAATATGGCGTCTCGCTTGGCCTCCCCCTCCCCCCCCTCCCCGTCGTCTTTCAGCTCAGATTTCATGCCGATTTTCCCTCCATTAATTCAGTAATTCCAGATTTTTGTCTTCAGCAGACGAGGCTTTTGTCACCGGGCATCTGGCAACATATTTTTGTGTCTGAAATTCCACGTGTCTTTTTTCAAAATCATACATTTACCTCATTTACGCCTTCTCTTGCGGATCCAAATTTAACTTGGTGTGTGTCGTTATGTATCATTTATGTCTTATGCATTAGATGTGACATATTTTCTACATTCTCGTTCTACACATAAACTAACTTACATTTACTGATAAAACCTACATCATTTGGTATCAACAGCAGCAGGTATTGTGACCAGGTACTCCACCCGGTATCGCCAACAGGTACTTATGCTCAGTACCATTTCCAGGTATTGTTACAACGTACCAGAGCACCAAATGCTGCATTAGTCACCTTTTGCAAGTACTACCAAATATTATCAATTGGTAACCTTCATGGTATTGTCACCATTACAATAAATTGCTGAGTTGGTACCATTAGTAACATTCTATAAGTGCGTACTATCCAGAGCTGCCACCACAACCTATGTTGCGATAGTTGACTAACATTACATACCTACACTGTCTGCCCGAACACATTTTTTTTTCTCTCACTTTGAGTGCTTTCACATTTCCCCTTGACTAACACGAGAAATTTTCAGTTTATTGTTTGCTCTTATGATTATACAATCTAACTTTAATTTATCTGCACTCTCAGTTTAGGAGTGTTCATTATCAATTTAATCTATAACGTTAAAATGATCATTTAATTTTACCACATAACTGCGTCACCACATCACTATGTTTATTTTTTGTTTACCTGATTTTGTATGTGATTTTCCTTTTAATTTGGTGAGGTTAAGAAAATAACCATAACAGATTTATTTTGTCTGATTAATTCCACACTTTACTTATTTTTATCACTTCCTATTGCCCAAGAACTTTTGCTTCCCTTATGAACAGTATTTTTGTATTTGTTGAAATGCTTCTGTACACCCGAATTTTGCTTCCTCCTCCACCTCCTCCTCCTTTGCCATTGCTGTTCTGTCCCTGTCTCCCATGTACTTGCCTCTCCTGCCTCCCCGCCTTCCTCTTGCCTCCCCCTGCCTCGTGCTTCTCCCGATGCGGCCAGGGGAGGCACCCTTGCTGACGGTGGTGTGGTTGCAGGACTACAAGGAGTTCATAGATGCGGAATGCCTGGTGCCGGCGCCCGTGACCGAGGCCCCACACCACATAGAGCTCCGGCCTCTCAAGACGGAGGACGGAGGAGGAGCGTCGGGGGGCTGCACCGTCGACCTCGCTTCCATGGACTCCACTGACACCTTCGCCTCGTGTCCCACCCACCCCTTCAACTCTCAGGCGGACCTCACCGACGACCCGCCCAATAACAAAGATTCGAACCTGTACGTCAACCCTCTGGACGCCGACGGCTACCAGTCTCCCTCTTCCACGACCGCTGCTGCTGCGCCGTCAACTGCCACCGCGGCCGTGGGGCCTCGCACGCCCACGCCCAGATCGTCGCCTCGCCACCGCGTGATCCACCGCCCGCAGGCCTACACCACTGACTCCTTCGACGACACCCGCAGCACCGACAACCTCCTCGGAAGCAGCCGGTCCTCGCTGCAGGACTCGCCGCTGCCCAAACACCGCCGCGCGCGCTTCCAGGAGGTACGCCCCTTCAACCTACCACCTTGCCACGCCCTTCTCACGCCCTCGCCTCGCCCGCGACGCCCTCAACATAGGCAGTCGGCGAGATACACTTTGCTGAAGTGACCAAAAATTCATGAGAATAATACTAATAGTAACAATAATCATAGTACCCATTTATATTGCAAAATTCATGTGCTGTTTAACAGTTTGCCTTAGAGGTGTTTCTCTCTTTGCTCCTTAGCCTGTTTGACATTTTGATCATGTATAATATCTAATATATGATAAGTTATCTGACATAAATATCAGTTATGGAAAGTGTGCGTACAAGATTAACACTATCGTTATTGATTATTACTATTTATGCTCAGTGACTTTGTTTATTTATTTGGATTATTTCATTATACTTATAATTTTGAAACCTCACGTTGAGACAAATTATATAAACCACGAATTGAGCATTTGCATGTGTGTTGTGCATGCCTGTCCCGTTTTGTCTTCCAACACCAATTTTTGTTTTAGTTTTTAGTTTTTGTATAGAGAGCGCAGTTTGCCTAGCACACTTCCAACAAAGCACGTTCACATATCACATACTCAATGGGATATAGACTGCCACTCATCATACACATTCAACATCTTCATGAAGAATCACAACATCCATTCCACAGTCACTTCAGACGAACCAAATCCGCACCGAAAGAAATGATGATAAATTAGTGTAGCGCTTTCCTGCAGCTTTTTTGCTGTTAATGCCAAGTTGTTC